CCAGCTATGGGTTCACCCCCTCCGCTCTACATATATTGAGAAAAGTTTGACTTTTGTGATGTTATGGAATGTATTACTTCTATACCAAAATGGACTTCAGTTTTACTCGATCTCTCACGCATCACCATGTATCTTTGCGCTATGACCTTGAGTACCTCTGGTAAAAGTTTTAACTCGATCGGATGAAATTTAAGGGGGGGTTGTAAAGTGGTCCAATGGAAAACCGAGTTTTCTGAAAAACTGGCAAATGGCAATAGTTAAAACAAAAGCGAAAAATACTCCATTGAGTTTCTAATCAGTTTTGAAAATACGAAGCCTTAGCGTGTTTTAGTTTTTGTTTCACAGCTTCTCTACAGAAAGTCCAAAATGAGGGGAGGGGTACTTTTAATCAATGTAGTGCGATAACAGATAAAAGATCCCACGCAATTTAAGGTCCCTCTGTCAGAAAATGATCGTTGGAACTACACGATCGCTTCTGTAGAAGTCAGGTATTTAAGGATTAGCAGATTCTCCTTCAAGTCAAGTACGAGATGATTTCAAATTATTAGAATTTTATATAGAAACAACGTATTACAGCCGGATTTTTGAAATTTATTGCCTTTTCTTGTCAAAAGAAGAAGTAAGTTAGCTCAGTAAGCCAAAAAATATCTCAAAAACTTTCTAGAAAAGTTTTATTTTGAGATAGGTTACAACCTAATTTCCAAAACCAGGCTCTGTTAAGTGATTACCAACCTGTTAAGTGCTTACCTACCTGTTAAGTGATTACCTGTTAAGTGATTACCTACCTGTTAGCTTTAACTTAAGACAAAGCTTAGCTTTCCTGCACTTCGTTTAAGACTCCCCTCAGGATGAAATCTTTTTGTATCAAAAAATCAATGTGGAGACAAGTACATGGAAAGATAGCCTGGAGTGTCTACTTTCAGAATCGGTATCGCTTTTTGGCTTAGAACTGGTTTTTCGTGGTTTTCGAGCAAGTTTCTAGAAGTCTTGAAAACCAGGATTTTCGAATAACAATTTTTTCTGGATACTTAAGCAAGTAAATTTTTTCGGAACATGTAGGTTTGTAGAGCAATCTTTTCTGATCAAAATAAGACGTCTCTGTGTGATCTTGCGTTCAAAGATTACAAGCATTTTGGACATGTCCTAAAATAAATCAACGAATGCACAGCGTTTTCTCTCAAAACATGTTTGTTGTTCGAACATGCCCAGTGCGGGGCACTTTTTTTAAATATACTTCATGCTAGAGATCTCGGGTTGGTTTTATTTTAAACTAGACACCTAACTGCGTTGGCTGATGGGACCAAATTTTTGAATTAGGCCTTTGTTTTCTAGAAAATCAAGGATCAGAAAATCCCAGAATGGTAAGAGATAGCGAGGAAAAAAGTATTTCGTGACCATACTTTGATATGGAAAACATTTGTTGGAAGTGGTATCAAAATTGGATATAAGACAAAAAAGTTTTTTTCTGAGAGAAGGGGGTCCTTAACGGAGAAATCTTCTAAACCGCGATCACAGCAGAACTTTTCTGATCGTGTACAAAGCATACTTTGGGTTTCTAGTAAAACTTCTATAGCTTTTTCCAGAAAGGTATTGTAGAGCGCGAAGACGTCTCATTTTGATCAGAAATGTTTGCTTTACAATTTGGCATTCTTGATGCCGCATTTCTATCTATAGTGCATAACTTTTCCAAATGTCGGTTATTCTGGGCTTTAGAAAACTTCTCCTCAAATCCCTAATGAAACTGAAATTAGCATGGACTCTGGTTGTAGACATCCTGAAATATTCGACAATGTGGCTAGCTTAATAGTGACCTTCTATGTCATCAGGGGCACAGTGGACGCCTACTGGGACAATTAGTCAAACAAATGTGCTTTGTGGATTTAATTAGAAGACAATATACTTCAATGTATGTGCTATCCAGTGGTGAGTTCTGTTTCTAGTACTAAGGCTCTTTGAAAAGCATAGTCAAAAATCATGCCGGAATATCCTTTTTGGAATCTCTGAGTAATAAATGCCGGTACCGTTTTTCTTGGTTCTGTGGAATTAGAAATACCTTTAACCGTATTTTACAATGCCATTTTGGTATTTCAGTGTATCCTTTTTGGTTTTATAAGAGTTCTTTGAGTTCATCAATCCACGGAACCAAAAAAAGAGGGTATCTGCATTTGTTACTCAGAGAGTCCAAAAAGGGTATCCCGGCATGGAAATACCCTTGCTCTGTTCTGTTCAAAACGAAAATGTTTTAAAGAGTAGTGAAATGAGTTTCCTCACATTTTCTGATTTTAATCTTCTGCAAAAATATACCGAGATATTCGCTTGTGTGTTCTGTATGTACGATCCATGCATCTTTATGCACATTTTTTCTGAATATGAGATACGCAAAAACCTTTAGCTTTCAAGGTAAAAACTACTTTTTTCGGCTCAGGAGCGTTTCTGTTCAAAACCAATGGCATATTTGGTATTGGCGTGTGAAACTATATCGAATAACTGAAACTGCACATATTTTGTGTTAAATTAAACTTACATATTATGGTTTTAGTTGCTGCTGTTAACACTTTAGTCAACCGAGTGATATATAAGAAAGAAAGCAGTTTTGCACATGTTATATTTCTCAACTGTTTATTATTTGCATTGTAGAAATGACAAGAAATTGTAATGTCTATATTCATAAATTGTGATTGTAATCTTAAGTGTTCTGAGTACAGTACACTACGTAATATTAACTTCTAAGAAATTAACTTTAACTTGGTTTATTCCAATTTAAAATCTACATCCACAGTTATGAACAGTGACGTTATTCAACATTTGGTTGATGTGTTTTTTACAATTAAACATATTTACATTAGAATGTTGCTTCTATGTAGGCATCAGAACAGGTCAGTGCAAATACAATTTTTGAAGAATTAATATGTCAACTTCTGAATAGTAACTTGTTCTCTGCAAGCGTCAGTAAACACACAAAACTTTTCTATCTATATCAAACTTATTTATGTTTATACGTCGAAAAACGTCTTAGTGGTAATTAAAACAATATGCACCTCTCGCATATAGAAGATTAAAGCAGTTATTAGAAATCTTCCTGTTCATGCTTAAAAAATAAATATAGCCGCACAAGGAACTTAAAGATCAAGAAAAAAGGCGTTATTTTCCTAGTAAATGATGGTCATTTATAAATCATTTAAACGAACAAACAATATATGATAAATGCGATTTATAAATGAACCGGAAGCGACTTCTGCAAGAAATAGCCTATAACAGGGTTGTCATATGCCTTCCTTTTTCGTGATTTGGCTCCTGGAATTTTTTCTTCCTACTGTCACATTGAGAGAAAATTTGAACATTAACTATGAGCAGTCATCCAATTCCGAGGTGCTACACATTTGCGAATCAATTTCAGATCCGGAATCAATACTCGGAAGTTTTAAGAATTCCGTCGAATCCTCGGAACTTCGGAATTACTTAAAATTGTAGATAGCATGAATCGACACACTCCTGACTAGTTTTATAATTCCGACTCGGTATTCCGGGAATTTGGTCAGTCTAAATCCGGGGAATTCGCATTGAATTCTGGGAATGAACGAAGATAAACAACACTATCTGTCGAACGTTTATCAACACTACACTCAGCTGACGATTAATGTTCAACAATGTCTTTTTTGTTCGTTGCTATCGAAACTGATTCAACTCGTCTCACCTGAATCGATCATTTTGAAACTACCAACATTGGAAGACAATATAAAGGACCGAAGCTACTATAAGGTTTGGAACGATTTACACATGCAACTGATGTTGACCACATAGCCAAAACATTCATAAAAGAAACGGAATGGGTTTCTAAAATTGAGGGTCAGTTAGGAATTATTCACTCTTAAACATGCGTAAAGCCACTGTAAGGCCAAGGACTTGTTGTTTATTAGAAAACTGCCTTACACGTAAAACAAAGTTTGAGCATGAGCGTCCGCAATCTCATTACAAAACTCACAAGTAACTGTCTCTAAACTCCTTGAAAATGACTTCGTTGGCATGTAATAATTCGTTACAAAAAATTTCCGCTTATAAGCACACCTTTTTTCTCCACGGGAAGTAGTGAATGAATAACGAAACTTTAGTTCAACTTCTCAATTTCAGCAGAACGATCAAGAATGAACTATTCATACAAAAATATATATACATATACATCTTGCATTAGAAGACACACGCAAAATATTTCGCTTTATGGTCGATATTTCACCGAGCGAAGCAGCTTGTCTTGATGGGCAGTAGTCTTACGATTTATTTGCTGGTGTACTGGCAACAAGGGGGAAAAATCTCAGTGCAGCTATGACCGAAGTGACACTCTAAGAGTGTGAGTCAGTTTTAGAGCGAACGTAGTATTAGTTTATATTTTGTGCTTTTCTGACTGTTATTCTCTTCTCTACCGAAAATCGCGATCCAAACCTTGGAAGAAGAATTAGACTTTAGTTAAAAACCAACAGTCGAATATAGCTACTATCGGCACCAAAATTCAATGCATTCAGTTGTTTTTCGAATAACTTCAAACAATAAAAGATAGGAACTTGCGATTTTCAACAATCGACAGAAGACAGTTTAACCGATGTTTTCATAAGCAAAACCCTTTTCCGAAACTATTGGGAAGGAGATCTTTGGGAAAGCACTTTGGATCTCGGGAAACTGAGATGACAATCTATCAGTTTTTTTCCATAGATAGATAGTCCAAAGAGTCCTCTTCAAAATGTGAAATAAGCGAACCCTTGAGTTTTCCCGGTTCAAGTGTGGCATCGGATTGGCTGAGAGTCCCAGGTATTTCTTTAGGTGTGGTAATTCCGAAAATAATGGAAACGTAGGTAATCAACCACGCTGACTCTCGTGGTAATATTTGTTTTTCAGAAAACCTTCAACAACCTAGTGAAAACCTATATTAAGTAGAATAACTCATTTTTGCCTATTTTCGAGTATATATATAATTAAAAAATTCATAACCCAGTCAAGATCAATCTAAATTATGTCAGAATAGCAAGATGTACTCTGCCAGTATATAAATTTAATTTAAATGTACCGTTTGTTGTTGGGAATGCTAATACTGGTGGGTTAATCAGCTTCTCTTTTAATGTTTCAAATGCTTCTTGATGTTCGGGTCTCCATACAATTGTTGATGTGTCATGACTTGTTCTTCTTGGTTGTTCTTTCGATGATTTTGTACCTCCCGTTAACTGATGAAGAGGAGCCGCGATTGATGCAAAATTTTTAATGAATTTTCTGTAATATGATACCATTCCTAAGAATGAACGTACACCTTTAATTGTTCTTGGGCATGCAAAATCTTGTATTGCTTTCACATGCTTGAATACCCGTTTCGTTGATGACATGACCCAAATATTTTAATTCGGTTTTAACCATATTGCATTTTTTTAAATTAATTCTTAATTTTGCTTGTGCTAATGTTGTTAATATTTAATGTTGTTATTTTGATTAATGTGGGTTAGATGTTCATCTAAAGTTTTCGAAAATATAATTATATCATCCAGGTAGGCCGTAGCAATATCCCAGCGATGTTGTGCTAGAACAGAATTTATGACTCTCTGAAACGTGGCGGGACTATTGACCAAGCCAAATGGCATAACATTAAATTCAAACAACCCGTCCATAGTAAGGAAAGCCGTCTTGTATTTGTCGTGCTCCGCTAGTGGAATTTGCCAATAACCTTGTCGAAGGTCTAATGTTGTAAAGTACCGTGATCCGGATAAGCGATCAAATATATCATCAACGCGTGGCATTGGATAACGATCTTTTGTTGTGACATTATTAAGAC